AAGGCCATTAGGGAAAATGTGGGCATTGCAATTTCATAAAATGCATGAAGAGCTGGCTGTAAAGGCAGACACACCTCCCTCCTTCCAGAGGAGACCCCGGAAAGGCAATGCTTTATTTTCCCCAAGCCTTTTTCCGCCTGCTTAAGTTCTTGAGCTGTTACAGAAAATAGGAACATTTGGGACCTATCAGCGTAATAGCTAATAATAGCCTCACAGTTTACTTATCTTCACACCAACCCTTTAATATACCCAGTCATTTTCCAACAGATGGGAAACAGGTATGGAGAGACCTAAGCAGCTGGCCCAAGGTCGCACAGGAAGGCTGTGGAGCCCAGTCCATCTGCAGATCCTGAGCCAGCTCCCCAGCGACAGGGTGATGTCCTTACTGAGGGAGCAGAGGGACATCACACTGAGAGCCAAGCCATGTCCTGGACCATCCCCAGCCTTATCTGCTGCCAGAGAAGGTCTAGGATTGCTGGGGAGAGCTGAGAGTGATCTACTCTGATGGATGCTGCAGCCTGGCCTGGGGCTGGGACCTCTGGAGGAACAAGGGGGGCTCAGCATCTCTCTGAGGTAGCCAGGATTTGGCCTTGTGCTATAGAATCTGTGCTGGGGAGAGCTGAAGGAGCCAGTCATCCTGCAGAATGCATGCATATATATAAATATAGGTATATATAACCTATATATTCAGCTCAGCACCTCATACTCCATCTATGTATGAGCCCACCCCGCTCAGACTCGCCACGCTCCCGATCGATCCCCCCGATCCCTGGGGGGAGACTCTTGATCAGGGAGTGGAACGATAGAACAAGGGGCAATGGTTTTAAACTGAAAGAGGGGAGATTGAGATGAGATCTCAGGAAAAAATACTTTGCTGTGAGGGTGGTGAGAGCCTGGCCCAGGTTGCCCAGAGAAGCTGTGGCTGCCCCATCCCTGGAGGGGTTCAAGGTCAGGTTGGAGGGGGCTTGGAGCAACCTGGGCTGGTGGGAGGTGTCCCTGCCCAGGGCAGGGGGTCGCACTGGATGATCTTTAAGGTCCCTTCCAACCCAAACTGTTCTATGATTCTATGATACTTGTTTATATGGTGTTTCCATGTCCCTTTTCGTTTGGTGGCCTCTCCAACAAGGTGCTTGTACAAACGCTGCCAGGGTGGGAGAGGGATCACATCCTGCTTCTCCCTGCAGCAGCCTGGAAACAGCTTGTGAAGGGGATGGTCTCCCCCGGCCTCCCCAGCACCTCCTCTGGGAGCCCCCAGACCCAAGGGATGACATTTTCGAATCTGTCAGGCTATTTTAAACAGGACCATCTTTCTTCCTATTTTTTTTTTTTTCTTCTTTTTTTTTTTAAACACTACAGAGAAACAGATGCTTGAGTTATTCCTTAATCTAGAAGGTAGCTGCTAATTAGTTTTGTCTACAGTGTAAGCCTTCGCTCCACATGGCATATTTTGTGTCAGCGAAGGATCCCTAGCAGGGACTTTATCTGTTTGCTGTCCTCCCCCGGTATTCGACAGAGAAATGGAATTTCCATCCCCAGCTCTGCCTCTGAGCTCTTATCATTTCTCTCTTAAAAATCAGCTCATGCATCCCGTGTGGCTGAAGTGGGGTGTTTCAGAGGAGGGGACCCCCAGTTCTCTCCAGGATGGCCTCATGGCTTCGGGGGGAGCCCACGTGTGTGTGTGGGGGCTGCACAGTAGGTTAGTTTTCTTCTCCTTCAGCAGGGCCCCTCTGCCTCATGGGGATTGCACATGTGTGGGAGGGACAGCGTGCGTGGCCCATTTGAAGTCTTCTTTATAAATATTCAATTCCCCTCGACGCGAGGGGCAGCCCGGCGGAGCAGCCCCTCATGGTCTTGCATGCCAATAATTTGCAGATTAAAACCCCCTCCAATGTGCAGCCCCACAATGGGCCCTGCCTTATCTGGAACGGGCCTGTGGAACTATTGTGGTGATAATCTGGGGATTAAGAGACTTTAATAAAAAGCTTTGACACGACAGGTCATAGCCGCTCTGGGAAAAAAAAAAAAAATAAATAAATAAAATAAATCAAATCTGTTACTCCCGAACGGCTTAATCCTGTGTGAGCCGGGATCCTCGCTCGCCGAGGGTGTTGGGGGGATTTGAAGGTGCTCAACACCTTGCTCTAGGAGCTGGGGGTCCCCCAGGACAGGGCTAATTGCCTAATGAGTTTGCTGTTCTGGGTGCAGCCGATGCCTTTTGGGGGCTTTTCTTCAACCCCCCCCAACCCCCCCGGGGCTGGGCACTGCCCTTAACCCTTGGAGGCCCCACACCACGTCCATCCTCCTGAGCTGGCTGCG